AAGAATTAGTTATTTCAGAAATAGTAACCATCGACCCTTTCAACTTCCAGCGTTAGTTCTATGATCTGTTGGTTTTGTTTTGTTTGGGGACCACATATGGTGATGCTCAGGGGTTCCTCCCGCCTCAGGAATCACTCATGGCAGTGTTGGAGGGCCCTTGGGATGCTGAGGATCAGTGAGCAAACACCCTTCCTACTATCTCTCTGGCCCAGTTCTCTGCTGTGCACTGTCCACCAGTAACCCACATGTGATCCGCTGCAAGAAACAGTGTCTCTTGTGGGGGCTGCCCAAGCATCAATTGACTCAGCTGAGCATGTTGTTTTCATCAAAGTCAAGGCAACTATGACAAAGATGAGTAAAAGTGACAAGGACTCCCAGCAATGAGCAGCAGGGCACCGCAGGCACTTCTGCTGTAGCGTCCTTTCTCGTCCACGGTCATGTGGAAGAAAAGCTTAGTGACACGAGGAGATTCCATCCACCGAGACATTCCAGAAGGATTCCTCCACAGCTGTTTCCCAGCCCCACCCCACCCCGGGGCACTTGTGCACGCACACATGCTCTCCATCGCTCGGCCCGAAATATCCCTGGCCTCCAAGTCTGACATTTGGCCATGACAACTGAGCAGAGCAACAGTTGCTTGGCACAGCTGCAGCCTGAACAACAACAAAAAAACTTAGACAGGGGAGCTGGTGAATTCAGTCTCTAACTGCTCATGCAGGGAGAACAATAACTCTCCTTTTCCCCTCCCCTCCCCTCCCCTCCCTTTCCTTCTCCTCTCTTTTCTTTCATTCATTCCGTCATTCTTTTTTTTTTTTTTGGTCTGTTTATTTGGGCCATAACTTTGGTGCTTCAGGCATCCTCCTGGCTCTGCAGTCAGAGATCTCTCTTGGCAGGGCTCTGGGGACCTTGTGGGGTGCCAGGGATTGTACCTGGTGGCTGTGTGCAAGGCAAATGCTAAGGCAGCTGTCACTGTTCCAGCCCCAAGGATGAGTATTTCTGAGGGCATTTCTGAAAACCCAAGTTTTGTGCAGTGTGCTGTTGGTGATGAAAATCCCCGTGAAGTGCAGCTCTGAAATCCATTGTGAGAAGAAAAGCTGAGCAAGGGTCACTCACAAGCTTCAGGTGTGCGGCTGCTACAATCTTCCCGACTGTGGCTGTTCGTCCTGAAGCGTTTCTTACAACCTCTGACTGTTGTGAGCAACACAGGAATGGGTACAGAATCTCCCGAGTCTTGTCATTTTAGAAGGAAACACTTTCCTTATAGTTGTTGTGATCAACAGGATAATAAACAGAATGACTGACTTTTATTTTTCCGGAAGGAGACTGGATCAGATCATTCTAACAACCCTTTCCCTCGGCAGGAACGCCATGATTCAGGCTGGCCTCCCATCATTCATTCCGCTGGCCTGCTGACAGACCATAGTAAATGAGAAGAAAGGAATTTGCTTTATGCTATGGATTATGTTTCGGAATCTTTTAAATGGCTTTTTTTTTTTTAAAAAAAAAGAATTTAAATGGAAACTTAGATTTCACTAAAAATGAGTTTTTATTTTCCTGGAGTCAAAAGGAAAAGGGAGAAGTGAGAGATGAGAAACAATGGGGGCAGGGGTCAAGGAGAGACCCAGATGTTGGGGCTGGAGTGATAGCACCGCGGGTAGGGCGTTTGTCTTGCACGCGGCTGACCCAGGTTCGATTCTCAGCATCCCATATGGTCCCCTGAGCACCGCCAGGAGTAATTTCTGAGTGCAAAGCCAAGAGTAACCCCTGTGCATCCTGGGTAGGAACCAAAAAGCAAAAGGAGACCCAGATGCATTGGTGATGTTAAGGGATGATAGAGCTAAATATCCAAACCCCAGAGTCAACAACACTAGATCACAAGACCCAAACCTTATTAACCAAATTTAAAAGATACCTGTCAAGATGGAAGGCTTGGGGTGAGGTTAGGGTAGGGGGAGGAGAGGGAATCTACGAACAGTGGTAGGGGCAAGTAGACACTGGTGGCGGGAATTGGTGATGGGACATTGTATGTCAGAAACTCAACTATGAATATGTAATTCACAGTGCTTTAATAAAATAAAATTTTTAAGAAAAAAACTCGTTTTAAAACTGTACTTAAGCTATGATTATTTTTTTATTTTTTATTCATTTATTTTTTTTTGTTTTTTGGATCACACCCAGGTGATGCTCAGGGGTTACTCCTGGCTCACGCACTCAGGAATCACTCCTGACGGTGTTTGGGGGACCATATGGGATTATTTTTTTTTAACCCTGAACTTTTGAAGAAGAAGATAAACTCACCAGGATTCCACATGTCTTAAAGCTTGTTAAAGGATCTTAGATCATAGGATGCTACTTCTGGATCAATCTATTCTACCAAAATTATTCTTACTTTCAATACCTGGTCGAAGCTATCCTATCACTATGCCATAAGTGATGTCAAATATATGACCTGTTTTATAAAGATAAGCATTCAAAGTATTTTTTTTGCCACACCCAGCAATGGTCTAGGGCTTATTCCTGGCTCTAAACTCAGGGATCACTCCTGGTGGGCTCAGGGAATCATGTTGGGTGCTGGGGATTGAAGCTGGGTTGGCTGTGTGCAACGCAAATGCCCTATCCATAGTAATATCACTATTAAACAAACAAACCACTTTTGTTTTTGGGATTTCTTTTCATGTGTCAGAAAATGAACGTAGGGTTATTATGAGGCTTGTGGTCAACTGCAGACCAACTGACAATTACCAATTCTCAATACAACTTTTCCACTGAATAATATGTGTCCAATGAAAAATGCCTATCAATCGTATGGTAATTTCTTGCAATAATACAATGTTGTTTGATAACATGTTTTCGATAAATATGTTTTGCAAAGTGTGGAGTGAAACCCATTAGTAGTTCATGGAATCAATTTAGTGAGTCTTTGTCATAATTTTATAAAGAGTGAAATAAAGAAAATATCTGATCGTATTCTGTGTTATAAGAGAAAGCAATGTTTTCGACCGGAGCGACAGTGCAGTGGGGAGGGTATCTGCCTTGCATGTGGCTGACTGAGTTTGATCCCCAGCATCCCATATGGTCCCTCGAGCACCACCAGGAGTAATTCCTGAGAGCAGAGCCAAGAGTAACTCCTGAGCATTGCTGGGTGTGGCCCCCAAACCAAAACCAAAACCAAAACCAAAATGAAACAAAACAAAAAGCAAGCAAGCAAGCAATATTTACTTTAGTACTGTAAGTAAGGTGTGTATAAAATGTATTAATTATTATGGGACTTATTATGGACTGTCTTTGAAAAACACTGTTACAAGGCATATATTTCTAATGAACATAATAAAAAGCCAGACGTTTACTCTAGACCAAAGGGAAACAACCATATTAGTTTTTCTATAATTAATAATTGATTTTTTTCCCTATGAATACAACTACTCAGCTTTCAGCATTGCATTAAAGGTATTGAGACAATTTAAAAGTAATTTTATGTTCATTTTTCATGGGCACCATTAGAGACTTAATGGGTTAGGTTTGTTGACATGATTATTTTCCATAAATAGATTCTCATATCTACCAAAAATAATAAGAAATCTGAGGTCTCTTGATTTTTCTGTTTATTGTTTTCTAAGGATGAACTATTTCCATGTCAAACAGGTGACAATTCCCCTTTGTGACAAATTTACCTATAGCAGAACAGCATCTCATTTAAAAAGCATGAAAAATAATTCCAATTCACCCATACCATACCCTTCCATAATAAAACCCTTCAAATGTTTATGAACTCTCATCCCAGAAATTATAATGTTTGGGAAGAAGAAAAAGAATCCACGTTGTTACATCCTGCATAGAGCATTTCAGCACTATGGAAAAAAAGGAGCAAAGTAGATCCTTAAAAATAGGGTCAGTCTTAATAACAAAGAAGGCTCAACTAGCGCCAACCAGCACAACAGATCCTCAGACACCAACTTTAGCAACATCATTGTGAGGTAGAACAATGATCACAAATTGACTCTTATTGATCGAACTTTTGGTAATTCCATTTACCTTCGCGTTGTTACAAACAATGTGAGGCAAATTTATTCGTGCCTGCTAAGAGGGCAGGCTGGGGTGATGGTGTGTCAGGTCAACACAGATAGCTCCATGGGAGTAAAAGTGGCAATAGACACAGAATGGAATTTTTGTCTTTGGACTAAAATACCAATCAAGGCATAAGGATTGTTATTTATTCTACAGCACTATTTGGTGAAGTCTAAAGTACCCAAGGGCTGGAGCGATAGCACAGCGGGTAGGGCGTTCGCCTTACATGCGGCCAACATGGCCGACCCGAGTTCGATTCCTCCGCCCCTCTCGGAGAGCCCGGCAAGCTACCGAGAGCATCTCGCCCGCACGGCAGAGCCTGGCAAGCTACCCGTGATGTATTCGATATGCCAGACACAGTAACAACAAAGCCTCCAATGGAGACGTTACTGGGCCCGCTCGAGTAAATCAACGATCAACGGGAGGGCCTTTACCTTTACCTTTTTAAAGTACCCAAAGGTAAAAGAAAAACACTGGAAAAAAAAGGCATTTATTCATTTTACTCATATTTCCATCTCCTAAAAATGATATTCTTATCCCTTCCTGTTTCCTTCCATTTTTAATCATAACTTCTTAATAAATATGATATACATACCATCATAAAACTATGATATACATAAAACTCCATAAAACTGTGAGATATACACACACATACCATTGATTGGCAAATAATTTCCCACTCAACCATCATGCTATTGTTGTGTATTTTCAGCAGTGTAGACTGTTCTTATCATAGGCAACAAGGCAATATTCTTTCTGTAAGTCACAGAGGCAGCTTCTCGACTGTCCTATGGTAGGTGACCTTTTCAGCATGCATATTTGTATCATACACATTCCATGAGGCAAATGCTAAGGTGTCAGATTCCTCAGTTCATGGGGAATGTGTATTTTCATGGCCTCCTGTCAGCCAGGTGGAACAGGGTACTGGTACTCACTGTTTTGCTCCAAGTAAGGCCAGTGGTGTGGTGCTCCTTGATGTATGCCTGAAGCTCACTCCAAATGTTCAAATAGGACTTCACCCAATCCACATGGCGTAAGTCACTTGGTTATAAAAGAGAGCGGAAGAGATTAGAATTACGATAGAAAATGTGACTCTATTCAAGTCAGCCCAAAGAAGAGGGGCAGACACAGGGACGATCTCTCTTGTTCGTGTGATATAAAGACACATACTATATATGAAACGAAGAGTCAAAGACAAAGGAACCCGAGGAACTAGTTTACAAGGTTGAGGATAGGGCAGGAACCCCGAGACAGTGGTGGAGGGGAGCAGACGTGATGGACGATGGAGGGTGTGGAACAGGGAGACCTATTATCAACAGTAGAGTAAATACAGTGATTCAAAATACATAAATAAATCCTGTTATAAATGACTGGAAAAAGATAATAAAACTCAAAAGCAGATGGGGGAGGGCACGGTCATCCAGTCCTGAAGCTTCAAATAAAAAATTGGTCTTTTTTTTTTTTTTTGCCTTTTGGGTCACACCCGGTGATGCACAGGGATTACTCCTGGCTCTGCACTCAGGAATTTCTCCTGGCGATGTTCGGGGGACCATATGGGATGCTGGGAATCGAACCGGGTCGACGGCATGCAAGGCAAACGCCCTACCCGTTGTACTATAGAGCTCCATCCCCCAGATGGTCTTTCTAATACGGAAGCTGTGAACTAATTCAGAGATGTTTGGAAGAGAAGCAGCTCAGGCCAGGGGAGAAGCTAGGAGTCCGAAGTGAGCTGGTGAGCAGCCCCTGCAAAACTGAGCCAATGCAATTTGTGACTCGTGCCTCCTCCAGAGGGGGGCGCACTGCGGGGAGAAGAGCACATCATTTCCTACAGTTTCTGACGCCCAAAAAACAATGTAAGTTTCTGGAATGAGAATGGGACTGAAAACAAACAAACAAAAGCTGTCTGATTTGTTTTCTAGTAATGTTTCCAGTTGGACAAGTGAGCAAATTGCAAATTGGAGAAGGCGAGACCAGCAAAAAAAAAAAAAAAAAAAGAATTGCCATTGTGAAATAAAAATGATTTCCTGCAAAGGGATAACAGCCCATGCTTGGAAAGGAACTTTCATTCAAATTACTTTAACTTGATAATCATAAAAACAATGAATACTAACTGGGACGTAAGTGATATTTTTTCACCCCAATTTTATTGAACAAAGAGGTAGTGAAATGCTTACCTTTTGTAACAGGATTAATAGACAGGGTTGAAGGAACTGTTAGAAATATTAAACTGTACAAAGGCAGAAAGAGTTGATATTTTTTTTTCTATTTTTGTTTTTGTCACATCCAGCCATGCTCAAATATCACTCCTGCCCATGTCCTAGGGGACCAAATGAAGTGCTGGGGATCTAATCCAGTTCAGCTGAGGGCAAAGCAAGCACCTTAACCCCTGTACTATTTCTGTGATCCTCCATTCACATTTTTTCCACTTTGAGGAAAGTATAATCAATGAGAAAATGATAACATTTCAACTAACAAATATTTCTCCAGGAACCTTGGTCATTAATTGCAATACTGTCACTGAAGTTTTCTATGTTATTCAAGCACTTGTTTATAATCACTTTTCTCTGTAGGAATTCTGCCTTTGGAAAGAAAGATGGCAGCCGCTTGGGAGCCTTGTGGAAAGCCAGGTATGAGCTGGTGGTGACGGGGCGACTAAAACCTCATGGGAAGGGGGGCGTTCCGGGCTCATCCTTCAGGCCCTACCGAGGTCACCAGTTGCCCCCCACGAGCTGCTCTCCAGCAGGCCATGGCTCCAGAAGCACAAGGACTTAATGCAGAGCCCAGCAGCTTGGAGCAGAAAAGTGAACAGACTATGCGTTAATCCACACCACCATGTCTGCCCGGAGGGGAAAGGGTGTTGGTCCCTTCTGCCTTCACCCCTCTGGAAAGAAAGATGGCAGCCGCTTGGGAGCCTTGTGGAAAGCTAGCTCTGTAGGAATTCTGATTTGTTTTCCTGGACTATCTAAGCACCAAGCTTAGACCCATTGGGTCCAGCCAGGCCACTTAGCACAAATGCCAGCAGAACACGGATGCCATAATTATTCACCCTTCCAAGAAGGAAACCATGAGTTTGTTTCTATCATTTTAGGGTTATTAATCATATCAACCAAATTTATGGGAAAAAAATAATCTCACTGCCACTTCCTTTTATTTCCACAATCTAAAAACCTAAGAAGGGCCAGGAGTGATCTCTGAGCACAGAGTAAGCTCTGAGAACTGCCAGTTGGGCCCCCACACAAGAAGTTTCCACACTTCAGAAACTGGAAAAAAGGGGGCCAGTCCAGTGCGTAAGACACTGGGACAAACCTCTAAGCACCAAGTTGGGAGTAGCCCCTGGGTAATAAGAGGGTGACCCAAAAAATACCACCGCCAACAAAAACCCACACTCAGCGTCCATTTGTGTGTCTGTGTCTAAATGAAGAGCAACATATGTTCATGTGAAAGCTTGTGCACAAATGTTCACAACAGTATCAGTCATGAAAGCAAAAAATGAAGACAGGTGAAGAGCTCACCAGAAAAGAAAATTTTGTCTAGGTCTGCAGGACTTACTAACATTTCAATGAATGGCAGATTACATATACCACGGTGGTCCTGGGAGGAGCTGCGGCATAGCCTGGTGTGAAGTTGGGGGATACCACCCCTTTCTGTTAGAACATCGGCATCTGCACAGCACAGCACCTAGCAGTGTTTTTCTTACAGTGATTCCCCTTCAGTTAGCAATGCGTGACTGTAGATTCCTATAACGGAGTATGCTTTTGCCATGAAAATAACGAAGCAGACCAAGGAGTAACGCGAATCAACCATGCAAATATTTGCTCAGTGTAAGTCAGGCACGAGAGACCACCCATGGAGCAGTTCCCGTAACATGACATTTCCAGGAAAAGTAGCTTCGTAAACAAGAAGAGTAGATCCCCAGTTGTCTGGGGCTGGGGAAGGCCGGGGGCTGGGGGGTGGGGAGTGGGGATTCCGAGCAACTGTTTACGGGTAAGGGATTTCTTTGCAGAAATGTCCAGAATCTGACTGGAGTGGTGATTGGACGGCTGAGTGCTGGGTGGAGTGATGGTGGAGTACATTGGGACTGAATTGTACATGTTACATGGTGAACTGCATGAGCTAATGGCTAAAACTCACTACAACTATTGTGTTACAAACAAAGATTTTTACAAGTCTACGTGGTTCCGCTTCCCTTACACAGAAGCTGTTGTGCTATGTCGGCAAAAGAAAGGGGTTTCGGGAAGGGCTGCTGTAGAGGATAGCTTATTTATTTATTTATTTATTTATTTATTTATTTTGCTTTTTGGGTCACACCCAGCGATGCATAGGGGTTACCCCTGGCTCTGCACTAAGGAATTACTCCAGGTGGTGCTTGGGGGGACCACATGGGATGTTGGGAATCGAACCCGGCCCGACCACATGCTCTATCTGCTCTGTTATCGCTCCAGCCCCAGGATAGCTCTTCTTGTCCCCTGTTTCTGCCCTGCAGTTTTTCTGTAGAAAATGTGCCGGTGGGAGCTTGGAGCTTACTCCCACAGACAATGTAGCTGGGCCCAGTGAGATTCTAAGCTTGCTGGTGGTGCTCAAAGCCAGTCCAGGAAATTGAAATTTCCACAGAGAAAAACTGATTATAGGTAAATGCTTGAATTACAGAAAAACTTCAATGACTGTATTGGAGTTAATGGCCAAGGTTCCTGATAAAATTATGATGGGCTGAAATGCAACATTTTCTCATTGATTATACTTCATTCAAAGTGGAAAAAACTATGGGTGGAGGGCCAAAGAAAGAGTACAGGGGTTCAGGTGCTTCCCTTATACTCAGCTAAACTGGGTTAGATCCTCAGCACTGCATATGGTCCTCGAGTGATCCCTGAGCACAGAACAAGGAGTAAGTCCTGAGCACCAATAGGTACGACCCCCCCCCCCCCCCAAACCCAAACCAAATGCAACAAAAACAAATTCTGAGCATGTATTATTTGTAAGTGACTGGGAGGAACTGCAATAGGTATGTATTTACACATACAACATGCTTTTCCATGTTTTGTATCAAACTCCCTCACAATGTTAAAGATCCAATTCTTCTGCCTTTCAGTTTAGGTCTATGTTAGTTAACAGAGAGAGAGGTGACTGGAAGCAGTTCCCAGACTGTTCGGGTACTCAAGTCTCCTCTCCTCTGCACTCAGGAGAGAAAGGTGCCGTCTTCCCGCAGAAACCCATCATCTTCTAGCTGACTGGTGGTCACTTCTGCTTTTAACACCTAATGGATCAGTGGGGCCCCTTACTTTTAATCCCAGGACCTAGGGTGCCGGACCTCCATGTGTTTTCAGGGCTGCCACGACACCATAAGCAGTGCAGAATCCCAAGAAACCATGATGCAACCCCTCACCCCACCCCCACCCCAAATAGCTGAGGAAACTCATTTGGCCTCAGATCTGAATTTCTCTAGGTAATCTCATTTCAATTTTTTTTTTCTTTTTGGGTCACACCCAGCGATGTTCAGGGGTAACTCCTGGCTCTGCATTCAGGAATTGCTCCTGGCAGTGCTTGGGGGACCATATGGAATGCTGATAATCGAACCCGGGTCAGCTGCGTGCAAGGCAAACGCCCTACCTGCTGGACTATCGCTCTGGCCCTGGTCCCACTTCTAACTCCAATTTTAACCCCACTTTTTCTAATGAAAATTTTTGAGCTACACTCAGCAGTGCTCAGGGCTTCCTCCTGGCTCTGCACTTAGGAGTCTTCCTGGTGGGGTGGAGGGGATCATATCGGGTGCCAGAGATTGAACCAGGTTGGCCAGGTTCAAGACAAGCTATAGCATCTATGACTCGTGCTGGTTCTCTTCCAGGCGAAATTCCTCGGGTCAGACTTAGGCTGTGCACCCAGCAGTCCTCAGACAGGGCTTCATCTGTTCTTACAGAGGTCGCTCAGCACAACCCAATCTACCTCCTCCACACAGTCTCTGGCATCTCTCTCACTCGTTTATGGAATAATTTCACTTTTCATTCTTCATCTCATCTCATTCCCTGACTTCTCTTCGATTCCCTCTGCTTACCTACCGAATAGAGGGAATCTAGCTTGATCCACGCGCATGTTTTGTGACTCTACAAGACCAATCCCTAGCAAATCCTCCCATAGCTCCTGGTTCTCTGCGGGAATACTTTGCAGAGACAGTCTCTCAAAAGCACAGTGCTGGTGGTGATTCACTGTGAGACAACAGAGGCGGGTTTCCTCAAAACACAAATACTGTCAGAATCACCTGATTCCATTTCCACTTTGGTTTAACTGCACACATGGGATTTTCCTTCTCAGTCTAGAGCAAACTCATGAAGTGCCTTTGGGAGGAATCACTCACGAACACCGATAAGTTCTACGAGCAAGAGATGGCCTGGAAAGTTGGTCAAAGAAGGCACGTACCTGTGTTTGTAGTCCTTTAAGACCCTGTTAGTGTAAAAGGTGGCTGCGTCATTCATCTCCTTGACATAAGGGCCGGGTTTGGGGGACTGAGAGAACAGGACCGTCACCCAAGCATAGAAGGAAAAAAAACATAGGATAAGAAAGAAACACAGCGTAAAGAAGAAGAAAAGTAACGGAATGGCTGGTGTGAGAGCTGGAGACAAAATACGTTTCAGTGGACACTGAGACCCTGACCAGGGATGGGAAGTGGAGGGATTGGGGAGGCTAGGACACACCTGGGGGTTTACCTGCACCCTCCCACCTGTCCTGGGGCATGGGGTAGTACGCTGAGTGGACTCACCACAGCGATCCAGCCCAGGGCTGGGATGCTCTCACTGACAGCTGAGAGATGATTAAACATGTCACTTCCCCGGTTTTTCTCTCGGAAGGTCTGGATTTCCTGAATCTTCTCCGATATTGGTTTCAGAAGTGCCGCCACGTCATTCTGTGAGCAAACACGAGAGAACATTAGGGAGGACTCTGTGCTGTTCTCTATCCGTGCTCGCTCATGCCTTGGTGCTCACAGGAAACCACCGCCATTCATTCACTGAAGGACTCAAAGGAAGCTTCGAGTCCGTCTTTCAGGAGAGGATGGGATTTTTGGCAGATAACGGTAGTGCTATATTTTTATTTTCCTTTTTAATGTTAGAACCCTTATGTAGACACTGATTTACAAAGTTGCTTCTGATACAGTTGTTTTAGGCATTCCATGTTCCAACACCAGTACTGCCACCAAGTAAACCTCCAATGTGACCAATGTCCCCAGTTCCCCTCTCCCCGAGCCCCCACCTCCCAAGCCTGCCCCCTTCGTAGGCACAACATAATCTACTTTATATTGCTTATTATGACATATATCTCACAATGGCGTTACTAAAATCACTGCCGGAGGATTTACAGAGCTGTATGTGCCAGTTGAGCCTTCAATGAGCACAATGCGTGTTACTGTGTTACTGTTTTCACTCGCTGAGCCCGGTGGGCGTCTAAGAAACTCTCCCATTTAATTTGCTGTGTGCCCCCTGGGCAGTCAGAACTGTGAAATTTGGAGATGTGGCACATGCCTCTGCGCGTTCCAGGAGCTGTGGAACAGGGCTGATTCAGCAGCTTTATTTAAAATACTATTTTATTTTATTTTTACAAAGTTGTTCACAATATTTGATTCCATTTAATCTTTGAACACCAATCCCACCACCATTACACCTTCCCACCACCATATGTCCATCCTGAACCCCAAACCCTGCCCTCTAAGCAGAACCAAAATGATTTATATTGTATTGCTTGTTATGAATTTCATTTCATTTCATTTCATCATCCTGTTATTCGTCGATTGCCTCGAGCAGGCCCCAGTAACGTCTCTTTCATCCTAGCCCTGAGATTATATTCAAGGCTCTTTAGGAGAATGAGCCCCATCATTGTTACTGGTATTTGGCATATTTGGTACGCCACGGGGAGTTTGCCAGACTCTGCCCTGTGGGCAGGCTACATTTGATAGCCTGCAAGTTTGTCCAAAGTAGGAAGGAGACAATAAGATGTCATAAAAAAAAGTTCTGATAAGATGTCGCGCGGCCGCGAATGCTGATGGGAGACAAAAAAAAGATTTCTTAGAGGAAAGTGTGTGAAGACTGTTGCATTTCACCCAGGGACATTAAACTTTCAATAAGAGATTAGTAAGATACTGCAGCACTGCACTGCACTGTCCTCTGGTTGTTGATCAATTTGCTCGAGCGGGCACCAGTAATGCCTCCATTGTGAGACTTGTTGTTACTGTTTTTGGAATATCGAATATGCCACGGGGAGCTTTCCAGGCTCTGCCATGCGGGCGGGATACTCTCAGTAGCTTGCCGGGCTCTCCAAGAGGGATGGAGGAATCAAACCCGGGTCAACCGTGTGCAAGGCAAATGCCCTACCCGCTGTGCTATCGCTCCAGCCCAAGATCATGTATTATATAAATCTGTATAAATATATTCTTCCCCCCTAAGATTTGGTTGCCTTCTACTGTAAACCCCACCAAACGTGGGCTACTCTTGGTATATCAGTGGTATAAAATATGAGATGTTCAGGAATAGATTGACTCATAAGTGAGGCTTGTTCGAGTGGCTGTGAGCCTAGTGGTAGTTGAGTTCTGGAGGTTTTTGCTGTCAGGGCTGGCTCTGTTGGGGCAGGGAGGAAAACTCACCTACCCCCCTCTGGGTTGCCCCAATGAACAGCCTGGCATGAGGACCGGCAACATGGCTATGGCATTTCATTTTATGCTCTCTTCTGAGAGATTTATATAGTGACTCAGTAGCTGTGAGCGGCACCCTTGGGGTGAAAGAGGAGGTTGGGTGTCTTTGCGACACTGCTTCTCAGGGCAGAGCGGGAACTAGGCGTGCCCCTACCCCAGGAAGTCCCCAGAGTTCTCAACCCCAAGACGTGGCCGATCTGTGACGACCCAGCGGTGGTGTCTCTCCTATTTTTATTTTCTGAAGTATGAAAATTATACATAGAGGGGCCAGGGTGATTAGTACAGCGGGTAGGGCATTTGCCTTGCATGTGGCTGACCCGGGTTTGATCCCTGACATCCTATATGGTCCACTCATCCCACCAGGAGTAATTTTTGAATGCAGAGTCAGGAGTAACCCCTGAGCACTGCCAGGTGTGCACCCTACTGAGGAAAAAAATGAAAGAAAATGACACATATATAATCTATCTTTCTTTCTTTCTTTCTTTCTTTCTTTCTTTCTTTCTTTCTTTCAAGGGGGAGTGCCCCTCAAATGGCTCTTAGAAGGCCTGGTGGTTCTGTTGGTGATTCAGGTCCACAGTTCAATAAAGGGTGTGGTTACTTGGGCTGTGTGATGCTGAGGATTAGTTGGGTCACTGTCCTGTCCTCCCGTTGTTCATCGATTTGCTCTAGTGGGCCCAATAACGTCTCCATTTTAAGACTTGTCTCCATTTTGAGACTTGTTGTTACTGTGTTTGGCATATTGAATATACTCTTGGTAGCTTGCCGGGCTCTCCGAGATGGGGGGAAGAATCCAACCTGGCTCGGCCGGGCTGGCTGCGTGCAAGGCAAATGCCCTACTGCTGTGCCACTTGACAGCAATATCTGGGGGACCAGGTGGAATCGAATCCAGGTCGAGCACATGATAGTGAAACAGTGCAATCACAGTACTACTTCTTCCTGCAAATAATTTTTCTTTCTATTTTCGTTTTTAACTTTTTTATTGAATCACTGTGAGACATACCCTTACAAAGTTGTCCAGGATTGGATTTCAGGCATACAGTGTTCCAGCACCCATCCCTCTGCCAGGGTACATTTCCCAGCACCAGTGTCCCCAGTCCAGTTTTCCTCGAATTACCCTCACCCCAGCCTGCCTCTGTAGAAGGCACTCTCTCTCTCTCTCTCTCTCTCTCTCTCCCCCCTTCCATTTTGGGCATTGTGGTTCCTGCAAATATTTTTAATATTAATGTCATCTCCTGATACACAGGGAATATCTAGAGACTAATTTGGAAACTCCTACATAGAACACAGTGAGAATAATTGTGACTAAGTCATATTTTCACTTGGTATGCACAGTGCAAGTCAGAATAGTGTAGATTACAAAACCAGAGTGAACGAGGGGTTAATAAAAGGATGTCTTTCTAGTCCTGTGAGAGAAAGATGTTTGTGTGGGGGGGTAGGGTGGGGAGTGGGGGGGAGGGGCTATGGCTTTGCCATAGTTGCCAGAATCCATGTGAGACACGAGACTCTTTCACCCTAGTTCTTTCTAAGACAATGTGATGGCTTCTAATAATAATATTTAGATACATCAAGACAATGCGATGACTTATAATAATATTTAACCTTTGTTGGTTTGGCGGCCTGCATCATTCTTGGCGAACTCAGCCAATGACTCTTGGGCATTCACTTCTTTTTTTGTTTGGTTTTTTAGGTCATGACCTGGCAATGCTGGGGGCAATGCCCAGCTCTGTGTGGGAGGGTGGGGGATTATTCTCAGTGGGGCCCAAGGGACCCTGCAGTGCTGGGGATCAAACCGAGTCCTTGCATGCAAATCAAACAGTATCACCAGACACTAACTCAACTTGTCATCAAGCCCTACCCCAGACAGAAGCCTGCTGGGAACAGACACAAAGCCCCCGAGCACTTTTGAGGGGAGGCAGGTAAAAGACCCTGACTTTGAAAGGGATGTGAACCGAGCTCTGAAATATCACTGAGACAGTGAGTGTGATCCCCTTCCCTGTGTTTCCTGCATTTGCAGTTACCTGCCCTCCACAACAGATTACAAACAACAAGATTGTTTCAATTTTTCTCCTCATGTCAGGGATCGAATCCCAGACCTCTGACAGGCACTAAGACATTATGAGAGAGAAAGAGAAGCCAGAGACACGTGACTTTCATGACAGTTTGCTGTTTCATTTGTTCTATTTTTGGGTGAGATAACCTCTTACTGCACCTGACTTATGTGTTCACTTTCATTACAGTTTGAGTCACTGTCACTGTTACCATCCTCCCGTTGTTCATCGATTTGCTCGAGCAGGCCCAGTAACGTCTCCATTGTGAGACTTGTTGTTACTGTGATTGGCATATCAAATACTCCACGGGTAGCTTGCCAGGCTTTGCTTTGCAGGCGAGATGCTCTCGGTAGCTTGCTAGGTTCTCTGAGAGGGGCAGAGGAATCGAACCTGGGTCGCCAGGGTCCACTGTGTGCAAGGCAAATGCCCTACCCGCTGTGCTATCGCTCCAGCCCAACAGTTTGAATATTATATATATATATATATATATATATATATATATATATATAGTCAGAAACAGAATCTGTAGGGGCTGGCACTACCTGTGGCTTCAGGCATTCAAGAAGGGAAGACCATGATGGGAAGATCATGATGCCCCATAAATTGCTGTAACATCTCCCCATGCCATTCTGCACTTTCCTGAATTTTGCAGAACAGGTACACAGTCACCTCGTCTGTGTGTGTGTGTGTGTGTGTGTTTGTGTGTGTGTGCGTGTGTGAGCAAGTGTGTGTGTTCCAGAGAAATAGCCGAGTCCTGTCCTTCAGCTTTGTAAAGGCAGTTGAAAAGGTTTCTGCAGTGTTTTTAACAAAATCCTGTTTGCAGAAAATAACAAGGAAAAGCCCCTTTCGGCTCCTGCATTTTTTTTTTAAACCAAGACTTCAGCACAAAGGTCCCTCCCCTTGACTACACATTGAAATCACCCAGGGAGCTTTTTAAAACAGAGGCCCTGGGCCCCTTGCCCAGAGACTCAGATTTAAATAGTCTGCAGGGAGCCTGAGCTGGGAGAATTGGAAAAGCTCTCTAGACGCAGATTTTACTCATAGAGCAGTGGTTCAACACCCCATGGAGCATGCCTTTCTACCTGAGGCCACAAGAGACAACCTCTCCTTCAATGATGATTATTTCCAGGCCTCTTTGTAATTAAATTAATAATTTAAAAAATAGCTTTAAAATTA